AAGGCTGAAGAAGGCAACGCTCTGCCTATTCCACCCCACATCAGCTGAGGCCCCAAGGACACTATCAATGAATGTCTTTTTCGTGAGCTGTTAAGTGCCACGTTTTTCACATTTTTTTCTGCTTTGCACAGGTAATCTCGCCAGCCCTTCTAAAGGGGCCCCCAGTCATCATGAAGTGTTGCCTAGAGCTCCCAAGTGTATGAAGGTGTGATGTGCCTTGCAGAGAAAACACACGTGATGGCTAAGCTGCACTCGGGCATGAGTTATGGTGTTATGGTGCTACTGACCAGAAGTTCAGAGTTAATGATTCAACAACATACGTTAAATAGGTGTCTTTAAACAGAAACACACATGAAACAAAATTTGGTATTGACGGGCTGACAAAACGGTTGTGCATCTCACTGGAACCTAACCTTGTATGTCCCCTAAGAGCAGAGCTCAGTATTCACTAATTCCAAAATTGCGGCAGCTTCACAGGACGTAACTACTGAGAATAATGAGAACTGACTATACAGCATTATTACAGACGACAGAATAAAATCTTCTACTTGTATCACAAGCTCCCAGTGGATGCTAATTCTGGAACCAGAACTACTAGACTGGGGAGGCCAGGTTTAGCTGCTTTGGTTCAGATGTGGCCAGACAGAGTACAGTGGCCCGGAGGACTCACCAAGCGGGCGCGGGGGTTGCGGTGGTAGTAGAGCTCTTTAAATTCATCCATCCACACCTCAGCTGCTCGGACGCTGTTGGCTAGAGCCTTGTTGCGGGAGTAGGGAGCTTGCTTAGGGAAGACGTGGCCAACATGGGAACACGGGTGGATTTCCAGAGTCCCTCCACATTGCCAGATCTGCACACAGAACAGAGGAGAGGCCCAGGCAGTGAGTAGGGAGTGATGAGCCGCAGGTCCATGTTGGGCCCAGCGAGGAGGCCGTGTGCTCAGAAGTCATGATGAACACTGCCAGGCTGGCACACTCATGGCACAGAATGCAGGCGAAGAGCCGGAAAGCAGCCCCCACAACAAACAAGTCATCGGAGCCAAGGCCCCAAGGCCCATGCACTGAGGCTCATGCACTCGACTCACTCTGCGAACAGCTTATTACCTGGTCTCCTAGCCACAGAAGATAGGAAAGCAGCAAGTAAGAAGAGAGGGTTGGAAGGGGGGAAGGAAGAGCTTCTAGAGGCAGGCAGAGCAGCCCGACACCTAGGGGAAAGGTAGAAAGACCATTAGAAGCACACACAAAAACGCGACAGACAGAGCTGCCAGGGCCTACTGCACGCCGGGGTAAACAGCAGCGAATACCTCGTTTTCCCAAAGACAGTACAACCAAGCTCGCAGCTGGGACTTATAACTCAGGGAGTGGGTCCTTGTTGGAAGGTCAAACTCTTGTTTATTAACTCTTTTTATAAGGTGGGGATATTATATAAAAATAGTGCTAAAGATCTTAATTTTCTGCTGGTAAGCAGGAACATTTATATATACAGTTTAGGTACTTAAAATGTATGACTACATTACCTAAAAAATGTTTTGAAATGCTAGGGCTTTTTCAAAGGGGTTGCCATGGGCCACACAGAGCAGGATCAACAGATGGGCTTGTTATGAAAAGCAGATGACTGGCACCTCCCTAAAGCTATTAAATCTGATGTTCTAGAGACTGTGCCCATAAATCTCCCTTTTTAACAAGTTTTCTCATATTCTTTTTTTAAAAAATTTATTTATCTGTTTATTTGCTGTGATTTTTCAAGTTACCAGGTCCAGGCCTCAAACCATGGTTGGCCATATGGGACTCCAGCACCCAACCCACCACACCACCTTCTGGCCCCGCTCTATAATTCTTAAATGTGTCCAAGTTTGAAAGTCGCTGTGCTAAATAAAGAGGCTCCTTTGTAAGTGGTTATCAAGTAAAGGCTCCAGAAAATTGGATCAGGGCAGGGACTTGGCTGTTGGTCCAGTTTCTGTCATTAACTGAGTGACCTTGAACAACTCACTTCCCCTCTCTTGGCCTCAGTTTCTCCTCTCTATAGAGGGGGAAAAAAAAAAAAAAAACCAGTGACTCGCAAGGCCCTTTCCAGCCCAAACTCTATTAAAAGTGTATTTTTTCAGAAGTTGAAACAAGAAGGCTACGTGTGTGCAGGATATGCGTGCCATCACCATCTTTCAGGATCACTGGATAAACTGCCAACACAGAGGCAGAGTCCACCCTGTTCTCAAAGCAAATCCATCATTCCCAGAGAGAGAGAGCGTGAGAGAGAAGTGGCTAAGAATGAGTCCAAAGACTGGGGTACTTACCCTAAAGGAGAATTCGAGGTTTTCTCCTCCCCAAACTTCCATTCCTGTGTCATAGGCCCCCAGATATTCAAAATATTTCTTACTCACAGCAAACAGTCCACCAGCCATCGTTGGAGACCTAGAAACATGTGGTATTCATAGTCCCAAGTAAGTGGACGGAGACCGTCACAGTTAGTCTATTCGTCCGTCTCTAAGCATCCCAAGTTCACACTTCATGTCCGGCACCAGGCTGGGCCTGAACACAGTCATGCCCCATGGTTTCTGCCTTGAGGGAGTTCAAGGACATCTCGACAAGCAAGTACTCTATGTGTGTGGCCAATGTGTCACCTAAGGTTCCCAGGGTCCCATGGGAACACAGGGGTAGGGAGGGGAGGACTAAGAGCCCAGGGAGATGGGGAGGCTGAGGGCCGAGAAGAGGGAGGGAATGGCACCATGCCGGAGCAAAGGCCTGAGCAGGGGAGAAACCCACACACTGGTAGAATCACAGAGAGCAAAGAGAGGAGAGACCATGTTCTTCAACAGGTGCCAGGTCACGGCGGTGGATGCTAAGGAGCTGGGATCTCCCTGTGCAGCGCTCACAGAGCCAGACGGGCTGGGAAGCAGAAGACTATGCAAGGCAACCCTGGTCTCTGAAGACTGCCCAAGGGTCAATTCCTCTCCAGCTCGAGTGGCTTCCTTTCCGACCCAGATGGCTAGCCTTGTTCTCTCCCTGCCAGGGTTATCTAGGAACTAGAGATGGCCCGAGGCTTCCAGCCTACCACAGCAGAATCCTTGAAGGTCAACGCACCACAGAGATACAGAGGCAAAAGAATGAATCCAGAAATAAGGAGGGAGGAGATAACATTACGAGACTGTTAGTGGTTTAAAATTTGAACACCTTCCAGCTGACCTTCCAGGCCTTTTCAAAATCCTGGCTTTCTCTGAATTTTAAGCTCTGGGCCAACTGAGAAAAGCACAATGAGCAACATTTCCCATGGGATGGCAGGTTCTAGAATATGGAGTACTTTCGTGTGTATTCATCCTAAACATTTAGGAAACAGCTTGTCCCCATTTCACCGTTGAGATGAGAGGTGCTGACCTGCCCTTGAGCTCTACTTAGAACCAGACTCACCCTCTGGGCATGGCTGGCTTCTCCACCCCTTGGTCAGCACAACCCAATGCAAAAGGGACTTGGCAGTGTCTCCTCAAAATGCTAAGCACAGGATGACACATGACCCAGCAATCCTACTCCAAGGCATATACCCAAAAGAACTGAAAACACGGACTTAAGCAAGTATGATTGTAGTACACTGATATTCAACTCGAGGGACCATCCACAGGTGTAATGGATACACAAAACAGGATGTATACAAACAATGGAATACTATTCAGCCATAAAAAAGAAATGAATTTCTGTAGGAACCCTCCAAAACATTATCATGAGAAGTGAAAGAAGTCCAATAAGAAAAAGTACAAATATTGTGTGATTCCACTTAGATGAGGTATGTGAAAGGAAGAAATTTATAGAGGCAGAAAGCAGAACTGAGGTTCTCAGGGGCCGTGGAGGAATGACAGGGAAACTATTGCTTAATGAGCAGAATTTCTGTACGGGATAATGAAAACGCCTTGGAAATACGCAGAGATTGCATGATATTGTGAATACACTTGATGTCATTAAACTATGCACTTAAAATTGGTTCCAAGGGTAAATTATTAATAAATCACAATTCAATTTAAAAAGTAAATAAATTAAATAGAATATACCAAGATAATACCCATGTGTGGAGTAAAGATATTAAAAGTAAAAACTCTGGGGGCAAAAAAGCAGAGGGAGAAGGGCAAGGGAAAGTGGCCACTAACCATCCCTCCCCAGGCCGTCCTTGATGTGTTAGTCTCATGCAACGAGCCATTTTCTCTTTCCCGAGGTCAAGCCTGACCTGATGACATCGACGGGGGATCGCATCTGCCTCCTCTCCCTCTCAGGGACAGCGTGCCACGTGAACACCAGCCTCCAGTCAAAACCGCCGATCTGGGGCTCCCCGGGGTTCCCCAGGTACTCGAAGGTGTTCCAGTCTATCACATCAATCACAGGGCACACCACTGCCGACTCCTTTTCGTGTATCCTGAAAATGCCAGAGACATCCCATCTTCCTATGTGGACGGGCAGGCAGCAGGACAATTAGAACTCTGGACATCCTTACAGGAGGAAAGAGGAAGCCCTGGGAAACACCCCCTTCTCCTTCCAGGTGTCTGCAGCTATACCAGAGCCTGGTGGGTGGCCACCAGGGGAGCTGGGGAAGTAGGGTAAGGGGGGCTTGAATACAAAAAGTCCTATAACTTTAGAATGTTTTGATTTTACCTTAACAATCTGGCCAAACTTGAATCCCTCAATGAAAGTCAAGACATATCAAAATCAAAGGTAACTAGTGGCATAGTGGCTAAGGCACTGGACTCCCACATGGCTGACACAGCCATATCAAAAGGTCAGCTTTGGACTTAGAATATAAATTTGAGTGGCCAGCAGATAGCATAGTGGTAACGTCACTGGACTCTCACATGGTCAACCATGGTTCAAGTCTCAGACACAGTGACTTAAAACTCATATCAGGCCAGCAGGTAGCTTGGTGGTTAAGGATGCTGGATTCCCACATGGCTGACTGTGGTTCAAGTCCTGGACTTGGCAGCTTGCTTTCTCATTTTCCCTCTCTCTCTCTCACTCTGTCCCTCTCTGGTAAAATAAAATAAAATAATAAAATAGAATAAAGTTAAATAAAATAATTCAAAAAAAAAGAAAAACCTCACACCAGGCACATGTGTGTGCATGCCCAAGATCCCAGGAGGAGTATAGAGGAGAGGGGATTCCAGCATGGCCATCCCCCGCAGGGGGTGATCTCTCACGTTCCCTCTTACTGTCTCTGCCTCTCTCTTCAGTAAGCACATGCACCCTAAAGCAGAAACCTCTTCAAGTAAATAAAAAAGTGCTTTAAAAGAAAAAAAAAAATAAGTATACATATATATAAATTAGAGTCCTGATCCTTATTCACTGTGTGATGTTAACTAAGTCACCTAACTTCTCAGAGCCCGTTATATCACTAATAACACTGGAATAATAACAGCCATTCATAGGGTTAGCATGAGGATTTCTGGAGAAAATGTTTATAAGATGGGTGGCAGAGAACCTAGGACCACCTAGGACCTTGTCTTTTCCTACAATTTTTGTTATTGTGAGCTATTACACAATAAAAATACTACAGTTTCCTGTTATTGATGTCAGCATTTGTATGTTTCAGAACCCTCCACGGACGTTACTAAAAGGCCAATCATCCTTCAGCATGCTCCCAGACCTGGGTTCCCCAGCATTTGATATCATACCAGGAAGATACACTGAGACTGGACCACGTGTGAACACTAGATTTCTCTGTGTCACATTTTGGGAGCTAGAATTTGAGACCTCAAGATTCTACCAGTCACTGTACCAGCAGGTGGCATGGAGGGTAAGGTACTAGCTCCCACATGGCTGACTTCACAGTGTGAGTCCCAGACCCAGTGGCTTGAAAAATCACACCAAGCACATGTACACGATTGCCCAAAATCTCAAAAGAAGAATGGAGAAGTGATTGCAGCGTGGCCATCCCCCTGGAAGATGATTTCTTACTTTCTTTTTCTCTCTCTGTTTCTCTGACAAGTGCATGTACCCTCTAACAAAACTTTAAAGAAAAAAAAAATCCTAGCAGTCATGCTACACAGAACAATGAAGCAGAGACCAGACTTGAGCTTCACGTGTTCTTAAAATAACACCAGAAACTCAGAGGGCATATTATAAATACCACACTAAGGCAAATACTGCAATTTTGGGGAAAACTGTACTGTTCAGGACAGGTTGTACGAGACAGAGACTCAAACCTGTGAGTTCACCAAACTGAGGAAGCTGCAAAGTGGGAATCTGCCAAAGTGTTTTTCTTTAACTAAATTGAGAGCTTCATTAAAAGGGTTGAGGTCCAACATCAGACCTTCTGGGCAGGTTCCAAGACACTGCCTGGCTCCGGGAAAAGATCACACTCTCAGGAACCTATGACTTGCAATCACGTTGGTTGGAACCACAGGAAGTCTAATTCTACAGGAGGAAAATCGGAGAAGTGCTATGCCAGCCCTGGGGTAAAGGATTCTTCCTACTCATGGCTGAAAAAGTGCATGCCTCCTGGGTGCATGTGTATGTGTGTGCGTATACATTTTTATATATAAATAGTATATTCGATGACTACATTGGTATAAATGCAAATAAAATCTAAGTTACATTCATTATAACATATGCATTACTGACTCTCATTATTTTTCCTTCTGATTTTAAAATAAATTAACATAAAACATTTCTGTGTATCCTTTCAAGGTACACAGGCCCTGGGCATTGTGGTTACTGGGTGTAACTGGTAAGTCAGTCCTGCTTGGAGGAAATACACTGGACCCTATATTCTCAAAGAGTGTGATTTTATATGACAATCTTTTTTATTTTTAATTTTCTTGGTTGATGATACTTCCCAAGTTTTCTATAATAAACTTGGATAAGAAGTAATAACAAGGGGTCTGCAGGTGGCATGGTAGTTAAGATGCTAGACTCCCATGTGGCCGACCGTGCACAGTTCAAGTCCTGGACTTGGTGACTTGCTTTCTTACTTCCTCTCTTTCTCTCTCTTGTGAGTACACGTGCCCTATAGCAAATTTTAAAATAATAAATAATAACCATAAATAGAATTAAATAATGAATAATTCTAAAAAAAAAAAAAGAAGTAATAACACAAGCAAATAATGATAGAGGGAGGCTGCCAGTGGCACAGTGGTTAAGGGTGCTGGACTCCCACATGGTGGACCAAAGTTCGAGACCTGAACCTGGTGGCTTGCTTTCTCACTTTCCCTCTCTCTCTCTCTCTTGCTCTGTCCCTCTCTAGTCAAATTAAAATAAATAAATGAAGTTAAATAAAATAATTCTTTAAGAAAAAATTTGTGATAGTGGGTCTCCTAAGTGCTGGTATGTTTGAAGCATTTCCCATGCATTAAATCACCGATAAAGTAGTGCCGTTATGCCCAGTTCACAAAGGACCTGCCCATGGAGGATCTGAACCTGATGCTCCAGTTCCTCTCAGGCAACAGTGATGAGCTTGTTCCTGTGTCCGCCTAATGTGGAGTGCCTCCCCGGGCAGCTCACGCACCTCTGCAGCAGCGGCTCCAGCCAGCCCTCGTGGCACTCACAGTGACAGTCCAGGAAGGTCAGCACGTTGCCTTTTGCCACCGAAGCCCCAAGCAGTCGGGCACGCACCAGGCCTTCCCTCTTGTTGGCACGGATCAGGCGCACCTTGGGCAGGACTGACAGCTCATTGGCCAGGCGCTCCTTCAAGTGCTCTAGTGAGGCAAGCAGAGCAACAAGGGTCACCATGACACATTCCTGATGGAGCACCTTATCCTAAGCCAGGTCCTTCCAGATCCCCAAGAGAAAACAGACATGGACCTCCTTGGCTTTGCTACCTGGGACATCCTTACCTTACCCAAAACCAAAGGGAAGTACACTGAAGGCTAGGGGAGGCTGGGGTGGAGGAACTCCTGAGGCACTATGCACTGCCCATCAAAACACATGCAGTGAACATAGCTCAATGAAGTGAACATAGGTCAATGAAGTGAACATAGGTCAATGAAGTGAACATAGGTCAATGAAGTGACCATAGGTCAATGAAGTGAACATAGGTCAATGAAGCTGTCACAGTGGCCAGCTCTATGTAGCAGGGCAGTTCAGTGCTATGTAGAGGAAGCTGGATGCCACATGGCTGAAGCAGGGTTTATGAGTTTTCCCCCTGCAGCTTGGGGGAAAAAAAATCAGGCATGAGTGCATGTGCTCAGGATCCTAAACAGATGGAAAACTGAAGAAAATAATTTTTGTCTTGTCCTGAGCTACCAATATCTGAACAGAATTCTAACCTGTTTCCTGGCTTAAAGTTTTAAGCAAAGCTCTCTTAGCATTTCTTTGATTTTGAGGTATTCAAGTTAAAACTGCTTTTCCTGAAATTAAAAAGTATATTTAAAAAATACCTATTTAATGACCACAGTAAGCTATATAGCATCAGCTAGGTGCTACTTTATAGTATATCCATTCTACTCAGAGTTTCACGCCTAAAGTCAGACATGTATTCAAAGATATGTATGTATCAGCTGACCTTACTATTGAAAGTAGTTAGATCATTTAAGATATTTTGTGAATCAATAAAATGTGGGGAATAAAAAAAGAATGAAAAGTAACTGTAGACACCAGAGATAGTTTGGGAGGAGGGTGAGAAATGGCAGAGCGTAAAAAATAGGGGGGGGGGAATATATATATAAATATGTAACTAGAAATGGAAAATTATCGATGATAACATGTATGATTAAGCCACTATGCAGTATATTCTGGATGGGAAATCGCATTTTGTATGCTGTGATTATGCTCAGTGAATGAATGTAAAATTAATTAATTAAAAATTAAAATTTAAACAAAAAAAAGAAAGAAGAAAAAAGGCTCTGGCATGGACAAGCCCATTTAAAGATGACTTCACTCCCTTTCTCACTCCCTCCATCTCCTTTCCTCCCTTCCTCTCTCCCTCTCGTTTGTGCATACATGCATACTCTGGCACACATGCAAAAATAGAACTATTTTTAAAAAATTACATACCTTATAGCTTGATTTGTAATCATTTAAAAATAACACACAGGCCTAGCCACAGTGACACAAGTGGAAGGACACAGTTATAGGAGGCCACATGGGAGGCCCAGGTTTGCTACCCAGCCCAACCTAAACAGATGGTCCTGGCTAAATGGGAGACTGGTGCAGAAGAATCATGCAACATGATGAGACACTCTTAAAAAGAAAATTACAGGGGTTGGCAGGTGGTGTGGTGGTTAGGGCAGCTGGACTCCCACGTGGTTGACCGAGGTTCAAATCCCAGACCTGGTGGCTCGCTTTCTCAGTTTTCTCTCTCTCTCTCTCTGTCTCTCTCTGGTCAACTTTTTAAAAAATAAAATAAAATAGTGACAATAAATAAAATTAAATTAAAAATTTTAAAAAGTAATTATTAAGGGGCTGGTAGGTGGTGTGGTAGTTAAGGGCGCTGGACTCCCACATGGCCAGCCATGGTTCACATCCCCGACCTAGGAGCTTGCTTTGTTACTTTCCCTGCCTCTCTCTGTGTGTTTCTCTGTCTCTGTCTCTCTCTCTCGACAAATTAAAATTAATAGTAATGGGACCAGCAAATGGCATAATGCTTATATCACTGGACTCCCACATGGCCAGCCATGGTTCACATCCCCGACCTAGGAGCTTGCTTTGTTACTTTCCCTGCCTCTCTCTGTGTGTTTCTCTGTCTCTGTCTCTCTCTCTCGACAAATTAAAATTAATAGTAATGGGACCAGCAAATGGCATAATGCTTATATCACTGGACTCCCACATGGCTGACCACCGTTCAAGTCCTGGACTAAGAGGCTTGAAACTCAGGCCGGGTGTATGTGCATGAGTACCCAAAATCCAGAGAAGAGAATGGAGGAGAAGAGTGCGTGGCATAGCCATCCCCTCTGAGGGTTGAGTTCTTGCTTTCTATTTCTCTGTCTCTCTAGTGAACACACACATCCTATAGCAAAAATCTCTCCAAAATAATAATACTAATAGTAGTAAAATAAATTATTCTCTTTTAAAAAAAGGACATTACATCTCTTTCTCGCTCTTTCCCATAAATTAATTAAAATACACATGGAACCCAACCACGGTTTTTATAAACATATTAATTATTATGGGGACCCAGCAGGTGGCATGGTGGTTGGGGCACTGGACTCCCACATAGCTAAGCATGATTCAAGTCCCAGACCTGGCAGTTTGCTTTCTCTCTCCCTCTCCCTCTCCCTCTCTCTCTCTCTCTCTGGTGGGCACATATGCCCTGTAGCAAATTAAAATAGCAATAATAATAATAAATAAAATTAAATTAGTAGTTCTTTTTTAAAAAAAGACACAATTATGGTAGAAGAAATTGTCTTGGGAGAATTTTACAGTTCATGTGGTAGTGGTAATAACAGTGATCATGGCTGCCACCATTAAGGAGGGCCTACTGTGCCGGGTACTGTTTAGATGACTTACAGACAGCGCATCTGATCCCATCATGACCCTCCGAGGTAAGACTAGTGTTCTCCCTACTTCACTGATGAGGGCATTGGGACCAGAGAGACTAAGGAACTGCTTTTTTGAAAAAATTATTTTATTGGGACCAGCAGATGGTGTAATGGTTACGCTGCTGGACTCCCATGTAGTCAACCATGGTTTGAGTCCTGGACCCAGAGGCTTAAAACTCGGACCAGAAACGTGTGTGTGCATGCCCAGGATCCCGAGAAGAGAATGGAGGAGAAAGGATTGCAGTTCGGCCATCCCTACTGGGGGATATTTCTAACTTTCTAGCTCTCTATCTTTGGCAAGTACACAAGCCTTATAGCAAAAATCTCTCTAAAAAAAAAATAAAATAAAGCCATCATCTTTAAACCCTTCAAGAACTTAAGCTTATTTAATAAAGACCCTAATACTTCTAAAACGTTTTCATCAAACTCAAGAGCTCCCTGGTTTACTGTAGTTTTCTACAGATAACTCTTATTAGGAGTGGGTAGCACTTTCACCCACCACACCCCCCGCCAGCCCCAAGGCTAAGGAACTTGCCTAAGGTCAGAGAGCAAGTAAGTTGAGCCATGATTTGAACCTAGGGAATCTGACTCCAGACTCTATTGGCTTACCACTGCCTTCCAGAGTTTTCTTCTGCATTTTCTCATCTTTATTAAGCAAAGCTTTTCAGGAGGACATGTTTATCCTATTTTGTAGAAAAGGAAATGAGCCGAAAGGTCACGCCCATAGTTAGCAGTGGCCCCCAGGCCTCCTGACTCCAAACAAACTCTGAGACTGGAGGCTGGTTCAACCCTTGGTGGGCCAGGTGGGGAGCTGGTGGGAACCTGCTTGGGCAAAATTAAAAAAAAAAAAAAAGAAAAAAGGAGAGACTTTCTTCACATCAATATGAACTTTGGCTCAGCCATCAGTGAAGAAGAAAATTTTGTGCAGTGTTCTTCATAGTCTATAAAAGGGTTTCTCTAAATATCCTCCATACTTAAAAATAATGTTGATGGGCCCAGCCTTGGTGGTGCACAGAAAGTATCACACTTGGGAGGCTGGAAGCCTCATGGGAAGCCCAGGTTTGGTTCCCAGGCCAACCTGAACATGCTGGAAACAGCTGTAAGCACCTGCAATCCTAGCTAATTAGGAGACTGGGGTGGGAGGGAGGACACAGCGAGACTCTGCTCTGTATAAAATACCTAGCTCTCTATTTTTCTTTCTCTATCCCCTCCTTCTCTCTCTCTCATAAAAGGAAAAAAATAAATAAATAAATAACATTAATTGATTATTTTTTTAAAAAAATCTAACTATAACTGCAAATGAATTGATGGTAGGAACAAGAGAGGAGACTTTGCAAACGAAGCTATAATTAGCAGCAGTGCCTAGCAAACGCACATGAGAGTGCTCGTGTAGTTTTCCTGGACTCATGATGGATTTTGTCGGCGTTAATTTCATGTCTGCCTAAACTGTCTCATTGCACCTGGAAAGGGCTGACACCCCTTCATCGAGTTCATACTGACACTGCAGAAAGGGCAGAAGGAGACAAGGAAGAACTTCCGAGTTTATTACAGGTTACTGGGCACCTCCTTGCCCCTTTCAAGTCACCACAAAGGTACGGGGGGAAGCGTGGCTCACTTTGTCTCACATTTATGCAGACTGAGCTGTGTCAGAAACAATTAATTTCTGCTGCTGTAGAGCTGTTTAATCCTATAAAGATAAAATAAACAATATTTGCTGCTATATTTGCTTTTGGATTAATATATATATGGAATGATGGGATTTTTTTTTTCACTTTACAATTTTTAAAATACTTCCTAAAATAGAAGTTGGCATTTAACCAGAGCTTACAATATGCCAGGCACCAACCTAGCACATTACCCTCCTTATCTCATTTATTCCTCACAATAGCCTACAAGGTAGGACCTATTATTATTTCCATTTCATAGGCGCTGAAGCCAGGTTGAACTGGTTATGGTCATTGTTCAAAGTTGTACAGTCACTAGGTGTTGAAGCAGGGATTCAAACCATGCAGTATGATCCAGAACCAGTGTCTACACAGACAGGAGTTAAAGCAACCCTGGGGGAAAGGATGAAAGGAAATGTAGATGAGCACCTTCCCTGTGCTGGCTGCTACGTAAGGTTCTGTCTGGTACATGATCTCATTTATTCTTCTCCACACTCTCTGAGATAGGTGTGAATAAACTCATCCAGGTGAGAAACTGAGGCTCAGGCAGGACAAGTGACTCATCCAGTGTGCCATGACCAGACCGTGGTATACCTCACTTCAGCCCCAGGTGCCCTGACCCCAGACCTTGAGGCCTACTAAGTTGTACTCAGCATTAAACTCTAGCCTGGGTTCCATGCTGTCATGGAGACTGCTGCTGGCCCCCTAATGCCTTCTCCTCATGATTTTTAGCTGAGCACATGGCCTCCAGGATAAGGCTACATGTCCCAGCTTCTCTTGCAGCTATGTGTGGCCAGGCAACCCCGAGTTGCTCAGTGGCATGTGAGATCAACTTCCAGAGTGCCGTTAAAGAAAAAGAGTATGGCTCCCCTTCCCCTTCAAACCCTCCTAGCTGACCAGAGTGAGCAGAAGGTGAAACACAAGCCTGGACCACTCAGACTAAGGCAGCACAACATCCCCAAGAGGTGGAAGCATGGCGTCAGCCCCAAACAGCTATTACAGCCGACTTGTGATGACTGAGATCCACTCCTATCTTGTGTGAATCACTGTAATTTTGAGTCTCTGTGAGAACCCAATGCACTCACCAATAAGAACACACATTGCCAGCTTTGAAGTCAGACAGAGCAGGCACGGGACCTGCAAGAGCAGATGCCCAACAAGCAAGAGGTATAACTGAGTGGGTGGCCCAGAGATGGCAACTTGGTGGAAAAAGGCTTTTGCTGCTAAGCCTGCTGTCTGCCTATTGTCACAGCCTTGACATTTTCCTGTTCTTTCCACTGCCAAAGAGTCACCAGCTCCTGCTATTCCATTTACACTGCTAGAGAGAGCCAAGCCAGGGCTCTTACTGCACATGGGCACCTAGAAACCCCTCCTTCCCTGCCAGCTTCCATCCTCATCCAGGTCCACCCCTACCATCAGATGACTGAGTTCTTTAGACTGACATCCAGGCCCACCCCTACCATCAGATGACTGAATTCTTTAGACTAAACCAGACCTTCCTGTCCTGATCAAGCCCTCTGATGACTCCTCACCAGGCTCACAATTAAGCTAGGCCTGCCCACCCTGCAGCCTCCTTTCCCCCGTCCCTCCTCACTCACCGCTGATGGCCAGTTCTGGAGACTGCCTGCTTATTCCTGCTTCTAGCCCTGTTTCTGGGCCTGGGCTCCTCACTCAGCTCTTCGCAGGTACAGAAGGATGCAGAAGGAAGCCCCTCCTTCCTGGGTCTATTCCACCTTTCATGTATCACACTCTCAATGCCCAGACGCTGCCACAGAGGACAGGCACTTCCAAGATCCCTTGGCAGGGGCTTACCTCTGTCGCTGTAGTCATCTACGAGGATAACTTCCTCTAACAGGATGTCCGGGGATGTCTCTAGGACACTGTAAACCGTCCGGAGGAGAGTGGACCAGGCTTCATTATAAAATGCTATGACAACAGATGTCTTGGGCAAATTATAATAGTCATATTTCTTCTCTTTGCACCTGCAAACATAATGCAAATTTAGAAACCAGGGGCCCAGTCAGGGTGCTGAGAATGGAGCAATGAGGGGGACATGGGTCATGTCTCAAGGCCTCCCCCTGGGGAATGGCAAATACTCTCCTGGAGGTCTCTCCATGCCCTCTGCAAGCCACAGGAGGCCCAGCAGATCCTAAGAAAGGTTCCAGGCCAGCCAGTGGTGTGGAAGTTGAGGCGCTGGATCCCACACAGCCAATTGTGCTGTATGAATCCCAGATCCAGAAGCTTGAGCAACAGTTACCTGTGGTTAGCAGGTGCACCCAAAATCCCTAAAGGGGGAGGGGAGATGGAGAAGGAGGTATTGCACGTGATCATTCCCCCAGGGGGTGCTTTCTTGTTCTTTCCACCCCCTTTCTCTTTCTCCAGCAAAGATACACACTTTCTGGTGAATTAAAAAGACAAACAAAAAAGAGAGAGGTTCTAACCATGACACCCAACAAGGTTTTACCTTGAGGACTATTTCTAAGCCCCAAAGTGATTTTCAGATATGAGCAAACTGGGTAGAATCAGAGGGTCTGCCACTGCTCCCTCCCAGATAGCTCTCCTGTCCATCCACTCCATTCCGACCTCACTGCCAGGCATTCGCTCAGACCGGTCCCTCTGTCTTAACATCCTCTTCTCCCTTCCCTACTTTGCAAACTTCCTTGTGCTCTTTCAAGAGCAGCTCAGCCCTCTCCTCTGGGAACCCTCCAGGGCCACCTGACTCCCACAGCGGCTGGCTCCTCAACACTCCTACAGCACCCAGCCGACTTCCACACTGACGTGTGCCATTCACAGTATTCCAGTGCCTCCTGGGCCACCGTGCCTCTCCTCAGCTTCTCCCAGCACCAGTCAAGTCCGCCTGACAAAGGCGCTGAGCTCATGAACCAGAATTGGGGCTGGAATCTATGAACACTTCAGGAAGGACTCTGAGAAGATGTTGCCTACCTCCCCAGGATCCACGCCATTCC